ATGGAGCTCAGGGTCTATGGCTCCAGCAATGCTTTAGAATCTCTTTCTATGGCGTAGCTGGAATCTCCTTTGGCACATAAGTGACAACCAGGTCCTGCTACCAAGGATAATCTCAGGATATGGTCAGGAAGGTCCAGATGGTAGCCCTGAGTGCTCCACCTTTTTAAAAAATATGTGTCTTGCCTTTTTTTTTTAACGTTTTAAAAAAACCCGCCAATATCTGCCAGTCAGTCACGCTGAGATCTCTGACTTGCTAAAAACTAGTATTAGTAACTGCCTGAGGCAGCTCTCGGCTTGCGAAAATCCTCCATCAACGAACTTTCATGCAATAGAAATAGCACTTGCTATTGCATGATGTGGTTTGATGGAGAAATAACATTTGCAATTAGCAAAAGAAATATCTGGTGCTGAAGTACAGAATAAAAAACATTTTCTTGACAGCAATCTATGAGAAAAGAAATTGGTTGATTTTAATAGACTTATTTCTGCAAGTAGCAGCACCTTGCTAGCTTTGGTCATTAAGCAAGTATTCCAGAAAAATATTATATATTTTGAGAGGACACCCCCCATGTGCAACAAGACATTTGAGAGCAGGTACTGATGTAATGCATATGGCTCCTTAAGTTTTAAGAAAAAAAAATGTTGTTTTTTTCTGTGCAAGCCTGGGAAAAGACCTAAAGGGAACACCACCATGCATGCTCAGTCCTACAACAAAGCATCAGAGCCAAAGTGGTGCAGTGGTTAGAATGCAGATCCTGACCAGCTCAAGGTTGACTCAGCCTTCTATCCATCCGAGGTCATTAAATAAGGACCCAGATTGTTGGGGACAAAAGGCTGACTCTGTAAAAAGCTTAGAGAGGGGCTGTAAAGCACTATGGAGCGTATATAAGTATATAAGTCTAAGTGCTATTGCTATTGCTATCTTTTTAATTTTAAACTACTCACCACCTAGAAGGTACATGATATGTTTTGGCGTGCTGGGAGCACCTGTTTAAAATTTAGTTCTCAAATTGAGAAGGTCTGTCCTCAAGGTTGTCGTGGGTACATATGAAAGCAGAAATCTGTAGCTTGAGAATAGCTGCATGTTATGCTTCAGGGAATGTTGATACTGAAATAAATAGGAATCATTTCTGAGAAAAACTGCAACATTCTGAATAATTGTGATCTAGAGGAAAGTGTTAAGTGATATGAATGCATTTGGGGAATAATGCAAGAAAGTAAAGAGAATATATAAGCAGGTCACTGAAAGACCCAAGAATGAATGAGTGGTGTTTGGTGAGTATCTACTAAAAAAAGTATCTTCTGAGTACTGTGATGGTATTGGAAA